TCTCTCTCTCTCTCTCTCTCTCTCTCTCTCTCTCTCACACACACACACACACACACACACACACACACATACACACACTGTATTTTTCAATATCTTGGAAAATAGAACTACAAGGTTGGGTTGGTGGTACATCAGTTTGTTAAGGGGTGAAGTGTGTTGGACCCTCCTGAGGAGGTTGCGTTCGGCCATAGCCAAAACGCCACAGTGGGAGTCGCTAAAAGATGCAATGCTCGCAGTGACTCACTGGAGTTGCCAAAGGCAGTGATATCTGGCATGGATGCTGTGTTTAGCTCTTATTTGACGAATGCGTTCTTATGTGGCGACTGTTGGACTTTGCATAATTTGTCACGTGCAGTGCATTCAGGACCTGGACTACGTGGCACTGCGTATTGGGTGTGACTTGACTCAGTTTTCAATCTCTCTGGAATAGATGATCTACAGCTTTGACCACGTGGTTTCTCACCTCTCTTTCTTCACATTTTCTCTGTTCTGCTTTCCTCTTCTGTCTTCTTGTTTTCATGGCATCTCCGCTTTTCTCTTTTATCACCTCATCTCCGTGTTTTCATGTCGTCTCTGCAGATACCATTTGCACTGGGGCTCACACTGCTGGCTGTGAGAATGCTTTCTGGTCAGCAACAGCCACTAGAGCCGGTGAAGCAGATGGAGGCTGAAGGTATAAACCAACCTACCAGGGAGGCGCATGCAGTGTTGGGACGGAGGGAGTTTTGGATGTTCCCACTCTTTGCGTGTCTGGCCGGGATTGTGGGGGGTCTTCTGGGAGTCGGTGGGGGAATGGTTATTTCTCCGATGCTGCTTGAGCTGGGGTATGAACCAAAGGTGAGTCTTGCTGGGTACCAATACTACTTTGGTACTATTCCCTCTCCCTCTCCCAGCTTTTCTGAGAGCGCTGTGACTCAGCTGTCCGTCCTGCCACTCACCAGTCATACTCCATCCTGCCACTCACCAGTCATACTCCATCCTGCCACTCACCAGTCATACTCCATCCAATCCTTTTTTTTTTTTTTTTTTTTTTTTTTTTCAGTTGAGATGAGGTCTAAACTTGGAATGGTGTACTCAGAATTACAAAATTGTGGTCGAAAGCGGCTAACGATCATAAACACCAATAATCCAATCCGTCAATCGACATATGTTTTTCTCTCTTGACACTGCAGTGTTGAGCACAATGAGTTGAATTGAGTTCAAAGTTTGGACTCGATACCTGAAACCCTTTATTTAAGTCTGCTCATTGCTCCTTATCATTCTGCAGATTGACACATGAACAACGTCGTTGACATTTGCAAAATGTCCCAATGACTGAGACCAGAACTCATAGATTTCCGGTGTTGACCTCAGCGCACAACGAATCGCCGCGCCTCGGCACGCAATGAACCATCGCCTGGCCTTGGCAATTTGGCACACTATTCATACAGAGATCCCTCAGATGGGGAGGGATATCCTATCCCTTGAGGCGCATTGGGGCTGCAGAGGGACGGTTGATGGCAAGCTGCGCACCAATTTTCGTGTGAAATTTAAGACTACGACCGCCGATCACAGACTATCAATGGGTAGGGGGGGCACACCAGGGGAGATGCAGGGCGTCGATTAGCATATGAATATCAGACCATGCCGATTGTTCAAATGTGTTTTTTGAACTTTTTCGGAAGTTTTTCCCTTTTTTGGTGTCGTTTGTTTGTTGTTGTTGTTGTTGTTGCTGTTGTTTTAAAAGAAAAGGAAAAGAATTAAAAAAAAAAGAAATAGAAAAAAAGAAAAAGAAAAAAGAGACAACCCCTTTATATTGCAGAGGGCACCAGTTTGGTTACTTATCACCGGCAAGCATGTATAAAGGTCAAACAGGAAATCAGAGGCAGAGGCATCATAATGAGCCAGAAACCGCTTTCTGAGCAGCGGGAGACTACCTAAAGTACCCAGTCCTACTCAGCACTTTCCGCCCAAATTGAGGCATAACCCTGAATATCAATAGTCTGTCCTTAAGTTCTGAAAAAAAAAAAAAAAAAAAAAAGTTCTAAAACTTCAAAAAAAAAGGGGGAAAGGAGAACCAGTAAATGGTAAAACCGAAAAATTCTAAACTGAAAATGGATGACAGAAAACTTTGTAAATGAGGATGATTGCAAAAAAGAAGAAATGAAAACCAGCAGCAAAAAGGGCCCGGGAGGGCAGGCCCTTTTTTTTTTTTTTTTTTTTTTTTT